CGGCCTTTTTTCCCCCTCAGAATTCGGCCTTTTTTTCCCCTCAGAATTCGGCCTTTTTTCCCCTCAGAATTCGGCCTTTTTTTCCCCTCAGAATTCGGCCTTTTTTTCCCCTCAGAATTCGGCCTTTTTTTCCCCTCCGAATTCGGACTATGTTTCCCCTTCGAATTCGGACTATGTTTCCCCTCCGAATTCGGACTATGTTTCCCCTCCGAATTCGGACTATGTTTCCCCTCCGAATTCGGACTATGTTTCCCCTCCGAATTCGGACTATGTTTCTCTGAATTCGGACTATGTTTCTCTGAATTGGGACTATGTTTCTCTGAATTTTGGCTTGTTTCTCTGAATTCTGGCGTTCATTTTTTATTTTTTTTTAAGATCTCTTTTTATTAAACACAAAACAAATGGTTACATTATTGGCTCAATATACGTTTTTTTTAACATTACAAATCACACACCCTCCCCCCACCCCTCAGAACTACTGTGCGTCTACCTACAAGATCAAAAAGTAATAAAACAGTCAGAATCATTTATATACACATATACATCTTAGACCAAAAAACAGAGGAAAACAAAAAAGCAAGCCGTAGCCATGTCTCTTTTAGAGACTAAACATTCCCTAGCCCTATTCTGACTAAAGTCATAATTCTGAGATTAAAGTTTTTTTTTATTATTTTCTGCAGTGACTCTAATCCTCTTCTGTTTTAAGCAGTCAAAAATTTTAGGCAATATTTATGGTTATTTGGCGTGTTTCAAGAGAAAAATAAGGGATTTATTTTCTTTGCAAAAAATATTTAGTTTGGAGCTAAATATTTAGTTTGCAAATCAAGGTTTTTAAAACAATCGTGTGTGTGTATATATATGTATAATTTTTTTGTTAAATATTTAGCTTCAAACGAAATATTTAGTCTGCAAGTTAAATGTTTAATTTGGAGCAATATATTTATTTGACAAAGTAAGATTTTTTATAAATGAATGAATGACTTGGAAAAAAATAAACCCCTTATTTATCTCCTAAAACATGCTTAATAACCATAAATATTGCTCATTATTTTTCACTGCTTAACTTTACAAATGGTGCCCATTATGTTCGACCTGGCTTTTTAATTGAAGACTAAGCAGAACGAGGGTCAGAGGTCACCTGCTGGAGCCGAATGGGTCAGCTGCTCTGGTCAGAACAGGACCACCCTTACGCTTTTGGGCCCGGTCTTACCTGTTCTGTTCTTTTCTGTCTACAGCTTTATTACTCTCAGAACTATCATCAGAAGATCCGACAGGACTGCGCAAACTTCATGAGAGCCAACAGGTGTGACTTTGAGCCGGTAAGTTCATCACTAATGGCTCTATCAGAACCGGGGAAGTCCTAATACAAACTTTATTTAATTTTGTATTATTTCTGATATGATATTGATGATATCACAGCTTTTAGTACTATACCGATATTAAAATTAATCCTTGGGAATTAATTTCGTCGTTAGGGAATGTAAGAAAAGCTTAGTTATTTTACTTGGAGAACAATAACAGTAACCACAGACCCATTTAAAACTGGACTGATTCTATCAGCATGCTTATATCAGACATTCTATTGTTGATTCAATTCCTTTTATTTTTTATAGAGCAAATATACAACATATGTCATCTCAAGGCACTTTATAGCAACAATTTTATCTGATCATCCAATCAGATTAAAGGTTCAAAGTGTTAATATCTATGGAAAACCAGCTGACTGCATCCAGTCATTGATTTTGCTGGATTCTCTCCATCTGGATGAGCATAGCGACAGTAAATATTTGCTTGCATTGTGCCATTAATCTTCTGCAATCCCTCACACCAAGCATGCAAGCAGCAATACTGGATAGGATAAAAAACACCTTTAAACAGGAAAAAAAGCATTCAGCAGAACCAGGCTCGTGTGAGCGGCTTACTGGGGGCCTAAAGGAGACAGAAGCAGACACTCAAAATAAACATGGTAGCACTGATCTATAACTACTTCCTATGTTAGGAAAGGTTATGGTAAACCAGCTCCACAGGTGGCTCTGTCTGGGAAAGAAACTGTCAAGCAGAATAGCTCTGACCCAGTTTACATGTCTAAGTATGAAAGAGAGCACATCCAATCAGTCACAGTAGAAGCTGCGTCCATAGATATGGTTAGGAGAGAAACTGGACTAA